TTAGCAGGGGCAATCAATGAATGAAAGGGCTCTGAACTATGCTTCTATCCTGTACAGATGAGTTGAGCACACATTTCTGGCTAAGCAGTATGAGGCTGATGGAGTTATCCATGGATAAAAATTCCATGGATACAGAGAGCTGACTCTCAATTCAAAATCCCTAGAAGAGATGCACAGCTGCTGACAAAATAATAATAATAATAATAATAATAATAATAATAATAATAATAATAATAATAATGATGTAGGTACATATATACAGATTACCTTGATTTTGCCATTGTGTATATGAGATACTCTTTTACAAGACCATTGTATTTAATGAGACTTGAGCATCCACAGATTTTGTTATCCACTGGGGGGGGGGGCGGTGTGGCTGTCTTGGAACCAAAGCTCAGCAGATACCAAGGGCCCATTGTATAAACAAAAGGCCAGAGTCTGAGAGAACTGACTTACCGTATTTTCCGGCGTATAAGACGACCCGGCGTATAAGATGACCCCCAGTCAAGATATAGAGTTTCAGCACCTCTAGCCTCCTCATCCTTATACCCGGCGTATAAGACGACCCCCACTTTAACCACAGATTTTGCAGGTTAAAAAGTAGTCTTATACGCAGGAAAATAAGGTACTTTCATTTAGTAAAATGAAATATTTCTCCATTATTTTGGAAGGATGGGGGATGTGTGTTCATCCATTTAAATACAAATGGGGCTTTCCCCTCTTAACATTGTTTTCACAAGACCTAACTTGTACCAACAATGTGTTTTGGACACTCATTCAGGTTAGAAAACACTGCAAACATCTTAACTGGGCAAATTCTGGAAGAACCTTTCCATCAGCTAACAGGTATGTGAATAAAATAATCAGCTACTGGGCAACGCAGAGGGGCGGGTTATAAATAAAAATTATTATTATTATTATTATTATTATTATTATTATTATTATTATTATTATTATTATTATTATTATTATTATTATTATTATTATTATTATTAACTTCCTATTCTACAAAGATCACACAGTTCTGCAACCAGTAGGTTTGGGGGGAGAACAGCCCCTCCCCAAATCTGCTTGTTTTGTATTTTTTTAAACCGGGGGGGGGGGTTGCATTAACATTTTGATGAAAAAATATGAATCCTGCTTATTATCTTAATACTGTGAAACATTATTTTATGCATTAGAAAGCTTGATTAACCATGTTTTAATGCTTTGTAATAAGTTATTCAGCTTTGGTATGATATACATCTTTCAATAAAACTTTGGAAATTATATTGATAAGTTGGTAACATATATAGGATTATACCAATTTTGGACTAAGAAAATTAAGTAGCAAAATGCAGTTCAGACGTCATGACCACTAACTTAAATAATAATTGTTCTTTAAAAAGTGCACTTTTAAAGCAAGTTATTTTGGTTGAGCTTATGTTAACCGGGTTTTCCCCCCGGAAAGCATTCTTGCACTATAAAATAAAAAAAGCAATTAACAGTGGATACTGGTCTCACAATGATCAACTGCCAATAAACTGTTGAAGTTAAAATGTTTCAGTTCCAATAAGAGGGTTGTAAAATAGTAATAATAGCTAGATTTAAACAATGGGAATTTTTTTTTTTAAAAAAAGTCATTTTAAACCAATCTAGTTTAGACCACCGAACCTTGGCAAACAGGAGGACATAGTCGTAAAGTTCACTAAAGTACATATGGAAGAAAAAAGCTACCTTCAACCCAACTCTTGCTCTACATGGTAGTAATTACAAGCTCCTCATAATAAATATATCAGTGACAGGTGGTGTACATGTGTATTTATCCTTAGAAATTAATCTAAATTTGGCTATATTTCACTAAACTCAGGCACGCAGCTCATGTAGCCCCTAAAGCCTTATCCCCTTCTGCTATGGTCACACTCTCACCAAACACAAACTATCCTTTGGAACCTTAGATGCAATGCCTCATCATTTTCTTCAACAAAAACCTCACATGAATTAAAATCCTGATTTCTTGGCCCTCCCTTCCCGCAATGCTTCCATATTACACCATGACAATAGTAACTCACTTATCACAGTACTCCCCTGACCTGCAATCTTACACATGGGAAAAAAGGTTCCCCAATGCAATTATTTTCTAGCTTCCTTCTCCCTCTCTGATCATAGAGAGAAATGTGTTCTTCAAAATTCCCAAAGCTGTTGTCCTTCAATGCCATAGCCTCAGAGCCTAGGTCAAACTTCTTACTGAAGGCTAAGCAGCACTCTTCCATTTGCCACAAACAAACCTTACCTGTAACCATTTTCCTGTTGTAGCATGCCGAAGGCAGAAAGCAGGAAGGCTCCTGTCGGGCCCATCGCCCAGTCTGTAATGTCAGCAGCATTGCATGAGCTGAGTTATAGCACTGGAGGGGAACACTATAGGAAAAGCCCCCTTCCTAACAAACTCTACACAATCCACTCAAGTCCACAGCCAGACTTTTAGGATAATACTTGTCCAGGTTCTGCTCCTGAGAGAGCCAGTCTTAAAGCTACAGTGAGCTAACCAGAAAGCAGTGCTACATAGCTGTCATTGCAGCGGCTACGAAGGTCAGTGGGCATGGAATGCTCTCTTGGCTGGATCAAAGCAAACAGCTGGTTACATGCCATGGCCAAGTGGAAACTGATCAGAGGAACAGCTGACAAAAGGTTTCTAAATGTAGGCCAAAGAAACCACTAAAGAGAAGGCTGAAACGTGCCAATTCCCACTCCTCTTTTCTAACTTAACACCTAAAGGCCCCTTACCTTCTTGAACTCTCCCAAAGGTATTAACTTATTGGTCCTGACTTCCAATGTGATGGATAGTCACTGAATGAGCTTGAGTCTCTTATATTGAGAGAAAGGCAGGATATAAGTAAATAAAATAATAACAATTCTGTCAAAACCTTGACAGGCAACAGGAGTTTGAGAAAGACCCACAACAATTTCCAAAAGTAATTACTAATGTTTTCCCTCTGCCAAAATAAAGCAAACATTTACGAAAATGTACTGAATTTATCTGAATTGCATATGGATGGATACACACAAAATTCTAAATTTATTTTCTTAGTAACAAGTTTGTGCCAACTACTGGTGAATCAATGGGGATTTCAGATATCCATTTCTTGAGGATGTGGTGGGGAACTAAACAGAAGTGCCTAATGATCCAATGTCTAATAATAATAATAATAATAATAATAATAATAATAATAATAATAATAATTTATTTATTTATACCCTGCCCCTCTGCATAGCAATCGGGGCCGCTTCCAATATAAAAATAATGAAAAGTCAGGTATGCATATACTCCTTTGCTCCTGACAACAATGGTTCAAACAGACTTCGGTTTGTTCCAAGTTCATATTTTTTCTAGAATTTTCAAATATCTAAATGAGAAACTATTCTCTTCTTGACTGACACTTAGATTTGTATTCAAATCAAGGCAATTTACCATAATCTCCACTGACAGGCACCATCCAACCCCAATCCTTTTGACACCTATCATCATGACAACCTAGATTCCATACACACAAAAGTATTACAGGCTGGGTCTCCCTTATCTAGAATTCCAAAATTCAAAATTTTCTATAAAACAAAACTTTTTTCATAAGTGGCTCAGATAGTGACACCTTTGCTTTCTGATGGTTCAATGTGCACAAGCTTTGTTTCAAGTACAACATTATTAAAAATACTCTATAAATTTACCTTCAGGCTATGTGTATAAAATATATATGAAACATATACAATTTTGTGTTTAGACTTGGGTCCCATCTCCAGGATATCTCATTAGATATGTATATGCATATACAGGTATTTCCAAGTCCACCCCCCCGCCCCGTAAATCCAAAATACATCTAATCTCATGCATTTCATATAAGGGAGACACAAACTGTATAGAGCAGGGGTCAGCAACCTACGGCCTGCGGGCCGTACTTGGCCCGCCAATCGGCCCCTGCCTGGTCCTGCCGCCGCCGCCTTTCGCGGCCACGGGGGTCCTCCGGGGTGCCATTTTGTGTTCCAAAATGGCGCTGAGTCTTGCGCAGCCTTTCCTGTCCTGCCCCGCGACGGGAAAGGTGGCACGACACTCCGGGCACCATTTTGTAACACAAAACGCCCCCCCGGAGGACCCCCGCGGCAGCGCTGGGCCTCTCCGAGGCCTGGTGCGGTCGAGGGAGTCCTCCTGGGAGCACACCACGGCCCAGGAGACACGGGGACCAGCCCCACCCCCAAAAAGGTTGCCGACACCTGGTATAGAGAATGTGGTAGCCACAACATGAAGGTCTTTGTTCTGTAGGATTCCTGGATATTTCCAAACCATATTTTATTACTGTTATCCTAATATCAGGTCTACAGCAGCAATTACTATTAACAGAATTGTTGTTGTTGTGTGCATTCAAGTCATTTCCAACCTACAGCAACCCTAAGACGAACCTTGTCTTCTTGGCAAGATTTGTCCAGAGGAGGTTTGCTATTGTCTTCCCCTGAGGCTGAGAGCACACAAATTGTCCAAGGTCGCCCAGTGGGTTTCATGGAAGAACTGGAAATTGAAACCTGGTCTCTAGAGTCATAGTCCAACACTCAAACCACTACACTAGCTCTCATGAACAAGACTGCTTCACACTAAAACTTTATAGTTGTTAAACACTGATTCTTAATGAAATTGAATCCTGACAGCAATGGTTCAAACAGACTTGGGCTTGTTCCACAGTTCATATCTTTTATGGAATACAATGCATCTTGGCAAAGATGAAACACAATGCATGGGGTTGCAAAACTAATCAAAATCAATCAGAGCAAAATAAAACAGGGAGTGGAGATGTGTGGGAACCCGATTTGTACCAAATGTTTGTTTGTATCGTTGTGGTACCTTCAAGTCATTTCCATCTTATGGTGACCCTAAGGCAAATCTACTATATGGTTTTCTTGGCAAATTTTATTCTGAGGAGGTTTGCCATTGCCTTCTCTTGAGGCTGAGAGCATGTGAGTTGCCCAAGTGGGTTTCACGGCTGAGTGGGGAATCAAACCCTGGTCTCCAGAATTCGGGTTTAACACTCAAACCACTATGCCACACTATCCATAACATTTTAGGAGTGTTTTTTCTAACCCAGATTTCTAAACGTACTAACATATTGTCTATGGAAGATAAAGCTGAGGCCAAATGAAGCTATTCTTTATGAAAGTGAACTGTATTCTGCCCAACAAACTCTTTTGCTTGTGCATCCAAATTGTTTTTGGCTGCCACTGTTCCCAGCCCTTACTTCAGGAGTGGGCAAAATGCAGGATTCCAAAACTGTTTCAGTGGACTTTGAACTCCCTTTTCTGGTCCAACAGAAAAAACAACAACAAAGGATATGGTAATTCATCTTTTAAATAATGTGCAGGCCCTCTATACTGTTTGACACAACTCTGGGCCACGTAGCTTCAGACATAACAGCAACCCACGGTTTTGGTAAGCTTCCTTTTTACACCACCTTTTGCACTTCCTCTTTTGTGACAAGACATTGGGCCAAAACACACTGCAGAAATAATCCAGTTTGAGATCACTTTAACTACCCTGGCTCAAGGTTAGGGAATTCTGGGAACTTCAGGATTCTCTAGCATCTCCTCCACCTCCTCCTCCTCCTCCTCTTCTTCTTCTTTATGTATAAAGTGCTGTAAATTTACACAGTGTTGTAAAATAAACATTGGATGACAATCATGTAATGTCTGGGAACACTTCCCTGAATAGTATTGTCTTTAACTCAGTTTTAAAGCTGGTTAAAGAGTTGATGAACCGTGCTCATGGGGGAAGGAGGTTCCAAGAGTGAGGGGCAGCACTGAGCTAGGGCATTATTTCTGCAGTGTGTTTTGCCCATAGTTTGGTGCTACATCCAAATTTGCAAACTATGCACTGATTATGCCTGAAAGATAGTTAAAAAACAGAGATGGGAGAACTTTGTATCAACTAATCTATTTTATTAAGAAAAAGAAAGTCAAAAAGGCACAGTGAAAAATTTCTAGCAACTGAGCACTTCAGTGCATCAGTCAGTCTCTTCCACATCAAGAATCTGCAAGACTTGAAGTTTTACAGCTTTTGAAGGGACAGCCAGAAGCAATGGTTCAAGATTTTGAAATCAGTTCAATGTGTTGGAGTTTTGAAACATAAGAATGCCTACCCAATAAGGCTTTCTCTTTGCTCTTGAAATTTACTGATTGAGAATATGTCATTGCAACTTTTGAAATCTAGTTGTTGGGCTACAGCAATGGGGAAACATGATTCCCTGTCACGACACAACACAGACCCAAACTTCAAGCCTTGTGGTCCAGCTGCATAATTGCAGTGATTATCAGAAATGATATTGCAGAATATTATACCGTATTTTCCGGCATATAAGACAACCGGGCGTATAAGACGACCCCAACTTTCCAGCCAAAATATAGAGTTTGGGATATACTCGCCGTATAAGACGACCCCTCTTCCAATGGGGGAAAATGAGAAAGTGTTGGGGGGGGGGGGGGGGAAGGACTGCCAATATACTAGGTGATGCATTCTGGGTTATGTACAATTTGCGGCCAAGTAAGTGACCCTGGGCATGTCACACACTCTCATCCTCAGAGGATGGTAATGGCAACCCCCATTTGAAGAAACATGCCAAGAAAACCCCATGATAAGATTGCCTTAGGGTTGCCATAAGTCGGAAAGGACTTGAAGACACACAAGAACAACAAAAAAGTCTGCAATTGTTTCATAGGATTAGGAGCCAGCATGGTTGAGCGGTTTGAGTGTTGGACTAGCTTTCTGGAAACCTGGGTTTGATTCCCTACTCTGCCATGAAACCCACTGGATGAACTTGGACAAGTCACATACTCTCAGCCTCAGAGGAAGGCAATGGCAAACCTCCTCTGAACCAGTCTTGCCAAGAAAACCCTAGGATAGGGGTTCACTTCTTATCCGCTGCTGCTTCCTCCTCCTGCTTCATGCCACACCACACCACCCCTTCCTCCCCCTCCTCCTCCTCCTCTAACCTGACTTCCTCTCTTCTTCCTACTCCTGCCTCCCGCCGCGCCACCCCTTCTTCCTCCCCCTCCTCCACCCGGTGTATAAGACAACCCCCAACTTTGGAGAAAATTTTCCAGGGCAAAAAAGTAGTCTTATATTAAATCTACCAAGAAAACCCCATGATAAATTCACCTTAGGTTCACCATATTGTGTGAAGGCACACAATAAAAACAACAGAGAAAGGCATCATCACTGTAACATGGACCTTGGCTATCTGTAGACTTTGGGGTAAAAAAAGCAGCCTTGGATAACAAACTAAACCTTCATCCTAGATCCATCTGCTTCCTCTTAATTCTTCCATCTCCTATTGTTATTTTTACCCTGAATTCAATCTAGCCTCATCATCATTCCTACAGGTTGAGTCCATCCATAAAACTATGAGAAAGAACACAAGCAGGGCCCCCAAACAAAGGGCTTTTCCAAGGCAGAGCCTTATGACAAATATTTAACACACCCATCCGATTCTTGTACCAAGAAAAAACACATTACACACATATGGAAGAGCAAAAACGTTTACAAAAAATGCCACAATTCAACTGAGGCAAACTGCAATAGCATGTAAACTGTAGGGTAGTTGCGTCTGGAAGAAGTCAGTTCAAATATGGCACTGGCCATCTTAGGTCTCAGACATCGAAGGAATCCCTTGAGATGTCTAGTTGAATCCCCTGCCTTAAGCATTCTGGTCTGATGCTCACTCAAGTCCTTTTTCTTAGAAACCTGAAACTAAGAAGATCCCACAACTTCCACTGATGACTTGTTCTTACAATCATCTGGAATTTCTCTTTCCTGTTAAAACCAAATCAATTTTGTTTTTAATCAAGCTTCAGTGAACAGGGCAAATGCTTTTTCTTCCTTCTGAAATATCTGAATGCTTATCAGCATGAAAGTTAAGTCTCCATCTCTATGTTATCTTTCCTTCTTTGATTTTTTTTTCATATTGGATTGCCCTCCCAGGTCTCTTTTATCAATTCTCTGTAGCCATGATTCCCAAACTTTGTTCCTCCAGGTGTTTTGGACTTCAACTCCCATAAGCCCTATCCAGTTTGCCCAACAAACAGGAATTTTGGGAGCTGAAGTCCAAAACATTGGGAGGACCAAAGTTTGGGAACTACTGCTCTATAGCATGTCAACTTTCTTTTATTCTCTTTAATATAACACCTATAAGGAACACTGTACCTCAAATAATGCCCTACCGGTGCTGAGCAAACTGTATACATTTGTTGATACAGCACAAGTCTCCACTGTCCTCTGTTGGGCTAACCTTACTTGTCCCTGATAAACAAACCAAAGATTTGCTGATATGCGTTAGTGAATGCTTCAGAGCTCTCTCAGAGAGGATGATAAACGGAAATATTTCCTACTGTTAATCTGAAAGCTCTTCCAATTGTTTAAGGTGCTCTTCTTCCACATGAGAAAAGGTGCAGACCAGAAAGCTTCAGATTAGAAAGGTCAGACAGAATGTAAATAAGAAGGTGAAGACTTCTTATTTTTAGTCTTTCTTCAGCTCTGTTTTGTTGTTTTGACTTTCTGATCAGAAACTGGTATCTTAAAAAAATATCATGATAGGCATTCCCCAGAACTTTGATTGGGAGAAGATTGTATTCTGTTCACCATCTTCCACTAAGATTGTTTCTACTTTTGCTGAAGTTGTCTAATGATTTGTCACAGCTCCTGATAGGATTTAGATGAAATATTCCCAAACCACAAGCAGCCACTCACTACACAAGAGGTAATCTATGTGATAACGTGAATAATTATGTATTGGGAGAGCTTGAGTTATGGAAGAGAACTAACTTATGCTTTATTGTTTTATAAGAACTTTCCAAATTTCTGAGTTTCTTCACAGATAATAAGAACTTGAGATTTTTTTAAAAAAAAATACTACTTGAATGAAAATAACAAATTTATCCATTCAAGGCAGAGAGTTTAGATCAGAGGTAGGCAACCTTTGCCCTTTAAGGGCCGAGGGACTTCAGCTCCCAGAAGCCTCAGCCGTGTTGGCCAATAGTCCCATGTTGGCCAATAGCTCCTGTGATTCTGGGAGCTGAAGTCCCTCGGCCCTTAAAGGGGAAAGGTTGCCTACCCCTGGTTTAGATTGTAAAAATCTTGCCTTAGAATCCCTATGCATTCAACAATATTTGCATTAAAGTACAAGGATTATCACCTCTTTTTTCTAAGAAATTCCTCATCTTTTAACAAATACATAACAAGGTACAATATGGTCCTTTTGATGCTTGGCATAGCTTTGTTACTGTTAACCACCTTCTAGTAGATCTTGACCCATGGCGACACTATGGATGAGACATCTCCAAGACTCCCTGTCCTCCACTGCTCTACTTAGGTCCTGCAAAATCATATCCGTGACCTTCTTAATAGAATCCATCATCTAACATGTGGTCTTGCTCTCTTTCTACTTCCCTCCACCTTTCCCAGCATTATTTTTTTTCCTCAAGGCGTCGTGCCTCCTTCTCATGATATGTCTGAAGTACTACAGCCTCAGTTTTGTCATCTTGGCTTTAAGGGAGATTTCTGAATTGATTTGTTTTAGGACCCATTTGTTTGTCTTTCCTCAGCGTTCTTCTCCAGCACCATATCTCAAATAAATTGATTTTCTTCCTATCTTCTTTCTACACATCCATATCTCACATCCGTGCATGGCAATAGGGAATACAATGGTTTGTATGATTTTAACTTTTATGCTCAGTTGTACATCTTTGTATTTTAGGATCTTTTCTTGTTCTTTCATAGCCACTTTCTCCATTCTTAATCTTCTTCTAATATTCTTGCTGCAGTCCCCGTTCCTATCAATGTTTGATCCTAGGTATGAGAACGCTTACTATTTCTATTTCTTCATTGTCTAGGTTGAATTTATATAGATTCACCATGGTCATTATTTTTGTTTTCTTTATGTTCAACAGTAGGCCTTTGCACTTTCTTCCTTGATCTTCCTTAGCAATAGCATTTACACTTCTATACTGCTTATCAGTGAACTCAGCACTCTAAGCAGTTACAGTCTGTAAGTCAATTGCCCCCAAC